ACGATAACATAACTAACATAAATACATTGAGCTTATCTCGAGCGGACACGCGGGAGTGGAGGGAAACGCGCCGAGAGAGAGTGTACATTAATGGGTATCATACCTCTACGATTTCGGATCGGACGGTCGGACGTTTTCTAACCGGATCGGACAAGTTGTCTTGAGGAACGGACGGCGGCGATGAGGATCGGCACGGGTTTCGGCAATCCCGAACAATAATGACGGACCGTGTTCACGGACGGCGACAACGGACCGACCCCCTTTTCTCGTCGTCTCCCCTCTTTTATCCCTCTCATCACGTTACTGGGGTTTCACCAATCGGCGATTTTTAGGATAAGTTCCTCATGAATCATTTTTCGGTTTCCCGAGAGATAGGAAACGGCTCCGTGGGAAGGAAATGTGTATATCCTTTTTCGTAAAATTTCGAAAAATGAAGTTTTTCTTTGTTTAACTTTAATAAAGATATTTAATTTAATTTGAGCTTCTTAATTTTATTTTATTTTATTCGGTCCGACCCTCACATTTGTTTGCTATATGAAATATTATACCTGATATAAATTTTACCAAAATTTTTACACAATTAGATAGATAGCACATAGCATGACAATATCATGGAAGCACAGCTAAGTAAGTCAATTTAGTGAAAAATGCTGAAAATCATAGCTACTTTGTATGATCACAATTTAAGATCTGCTGATTATTTCATTGCTATATAAGTTCTTTCATTACATTTCAAAGTTATTGAACAACTTAATCAAAATTTGAAAATAATATCACTCGTTTTTTTTAAATGATATTGTTATCATTAATTAATTAGGCATGACTTTTAAATATTGTCATCATTATTAATGGTAATAGCTAAATAATCAAGCTTAATTACTGTGTTAAAACATTTTTGATAGTAAAATTTCATCATTAATACAATTTTATCATTAACTTTAATTTATAAGATAAAATGTTAATTAATTTGTGCTGAATTTTATATAAATGGGTAATAAGTATAGTAAATAAATTGCTTGATAGATGTATTCATTGACACTATGATACTAACAATATTATAATTGTTACAACAAAGCATATATGTCAAGTGGGAATACACAACTACAGTGAAATATAATACCATACCAGTATGTACAAAATTATCATAAGCAATATTTTATTCATTATCATATATTTCAGATTTATGTAAAATGAATTAATGATTCATTTATCATCTGTCAATAGTAATTGCTGTTAGGATTGTATCTATGAAAAGAGTCTTTTCATTGACTTCATTTGAACAGCATGCAATAGAATGTAAAATGCATCTATGCAAGTGTCATGCTGCATAGCACCATAATTGCCACTTGGCAATATTTTCATTAAAGTGGCAATAAAAATATAATACAGTGTGTAATTGGTTAACAAACATAATTCGTTCAAAGATAATGTTCACTACCTGTTTGTTAACCAATTATCAATTTACCCTAGATTTTTATGGGAATTTCATTAATTCATTATGGATTAATAATTAAATAATTAAAAATAATTATATCATTTCTTAATACATTTATTTATATGTAATAACAAACTAAAAGCAATCTCTCCATTTTTTTATGGATGGCACGTCTTTGTTTCTCAGATGTGATTTTTGTTATTTCTTTATCTGCTTGAGTCTTTTTATTACATCTTTCTTAGCTAAAATTGAGCCCACTGTAGTCCTGTTAAAGCCATATTGCCTAGTGACATCAGACATCTTCCTACTTTCTACCTTGGATATTATCTCTTGCTAAGTTTCTATAGTGAAAACAGTTCTTGACATTAAAAAAAAAAGTCAGTTTCACCGTAGATTTGTTATTGCCTCTACAAAGTGTGTGAAAGGACAGAAGGATTTTGGACTCATTTCTATGTATAGTCTGGAAAGAAATATAGTTTTTCTACAGTTCTTGACACTCCATTCGTTTTTTAGGTCCCATAATACTATCAGTTTTAAAATAAAAAGTTCATGAAAATACTTACAAAAATTCAGAGAACAGAAATCAACCAGAGCAAAACAGGTTATGTATACATCTGTGAAAGTCTCGTTCCATAAACCATTCATTGATGCCAGTAAAATATAGTTTTACAAATCTTAAATGCATTGTTGTTTCTTCTTGTGTGTTCTGTCAGGTGTTCATTATCTGAACATGTGTTTGTTGTCTGAACATAAAAATATTTTGTGAAAGTGTTCATTGTTCAATTTGTTCACAGTTCGAACTGTTCATTAACCAATCACCCACTGTATTGGTGATAGCAAGTGGCAATAAATCCCTAGTCTGCTTATTTTGACATTCAATGTAAAATTGAATCACAAAGCACACTTCAGGAAAAACAGCAGAATATCTAGTTTCTGTGTGATGGGGTCCTGTGCACCACACACATAGCAATTTCATGACAAGTTCAGGCAGAAAAGTAGGGAGTGGCATTGAGAACCAAAGGCAGTTTTGTGCAGTGCCGCTTCAGTGTTTCCAAATTATAGATATTTTTTTTTATCAATCAACAGAAAATTTGTGGAATTCTTTGGGACTTTTTTCAGTAGACTAAAACACATGACATGACATATATATTGTTTAAGCCTTGTAATCAAAAGTGTATTTGGAATTATTCATTAAAAATTATTCAAAAATGATTCCTATTGCTAATGTGAGATTAGCCAAGGGTATAGGGTCTGATCCTATACCTCTTACGGGCTCAGATTAACCGAAATCTGTTCTCTGAGTTTTGGATCGAGAGATCCGATCCTAATCAGGATTTTGACCGGGAGGGCTTTTTGTATTAGAGAGGATATAGACGGCAAAGTCTTTATCCAACGTCAGGATTCGTGACACCAGTTTGTCAATTATATTCCGCGGACAAACACGTGTGTGAGATCTGATTCAGACACAAATTAAGAGTCATTTCATTTGATAAACATAACAATAAATTTAATAAGACATAAGAAAATAAAAACTAATACAAAATATTAAATGAAGGAAGGATATAACTACTACAATTAAGATACACCTCGAGAGATATACGACCCTATTTACCGATACAAGATCGAGAGAGAGATTACAATATCGTTATAAAACATACAACCTGGTTTAGTTGTCGTTCGTCTTCTTCTTGTAGGCAAGGAACACTTTAGAGATAAGTTCATTTACTTCTTTCCATGGGAGATCGATATGTGCACAAAATCAAAGTAACTTTTCTAACAGTTAACTCTGGGATTACTCTATGTGACTCGTCAAAGGGCGTTGGTCATCAGGAGGAAAACATGTGGAGTCCGGACACTTCCAGGTCTGTCGATGAACTCCCCGAATTCTGATAAATTTCCCCTATATCTCATGATTTACGACCAATCATCTGCCAGAAACTCTTTCATGTGAACAGATGAAAGGGGGATCAAAGAGGGGTAGACAGCTCCCATCTGAGCGAGATTTTTAGCGGATAAGGGAAAAACANATTATAATTTAGTAGTATTACATGATAATTATTGCTTAGTTCAAAATTAACAAAAATTTAGACAATGCTTATGAACTTTTTGTGTCTCAGTTTTCTTTTCATTTACAAATTTTAATGTATAAGTTTAATCTTATACAATTCAAATTTATCTGTGAATATGATTCCTAATTGATGGATTTTCAAAAATTCATAAAAATTTTCTTTCAGGTAACGGCAAGTGTATTACGAAACTTATCATGGAGAGCAGATACAGCAAGTAAACAAATGCTTAGAGAAGTGGGAGCTGTTGTAACATTAATGAAAGCTGCAATGAGTGCAACTAAAGAATCAATTTTGAAAAGTATACTCTCAGCACTGTGGAATCTTTCTGCACATTGCACTATGAATAAAGCTGATATATGTGCTGTTGATGGAGCATTAGCATTTTTAGTTAGTACACTCACATATAAAAGTTCTTCCAAAACTTTAGCTATTATAGAAAATGGTGGTGGAATTCTTAGAAACATTTCAAGTCATATTGCTGTAAAAGAAGAATATCGTACAATTCTTCGTAATCATAATTGTCTTCAATTGCTCCTACAACAATTAAAATCACCTAGCTTAACTGTTGTTAGTAATGCTTGTGGGACTTTATGGAATCTTTCAGCAAGATGTTCTGAAGACCAGCAAGCACTTTGGGAAATGGGTGCAGTAAGCATGCTTCGAAACTTAGTTCACTCAAAACACAAAATGATATCAATGGGTAGTTCAGCAGCATTACGAAATCTCTTATCTGCAAGACCTGCAGGAATGACATTAGGACTCAGTAGAAGCATGAATGGAACACAGCAGTGTAATGGTAAAACCAACATGCCTATGCTTTATGTAAGAAAGCAGAGAGCTTTAGAAGCAGAAATAGATCAGAATCTTTCTGAGACTTGCGATAATATAGATAGTCCTAAAACAAGTCCAACTCATCTTGTAACAGAAAATAGATTTACTTTTGGTTGTCAAAGTAATAAACAAGACCAGTGCCAATATATGGGTTATTTACCTGGACGAATGTATCTTAGTATAAATGGATATATATCATCCCCTGATGGAGTATCTCGTTCTGAAAGTCGTGATAGTATTGGAAGTACACACTCTGAGCCATTACCTCCACACCTGATGAAGAATTCATATCAAATATTTGCTAAAAGTGCAAGATTAATGTTATTAAATCAGAGGCATCGAAGGTCATCACTTGAGTTTCAGTCTATAGAAAACTCAGCTCCAAAAATGGACCATAATAATTACATGTCAGTTTTTCCAAGCCATCCATCAAGAATTGATGAGATTAGAAGGGTATCTGGGAGTAATGTTCATGCATCCAGTGAAGAATTGTATAAATCACTACCAAGACCAAATTCTCTTCCTTCTGTTAGAAGAGAATCAGCTGACATGATGAACAGTGAAAGTCCATTCAGACGTGTTCATAGTAATGGTATTCATCATGACATGTTATCAACAGGTATGTCAAGATCAAAATTTTATCCCACTCACAGACGTCTCAATAGTTATGTAGAAAATGATGCTTATAGAGGTGAATATAATGTTAGTGATTATTATGCATTATCAAATGATAAACTAAGAAAGAAAAGTGTTCAAGTTAATAATTATTTGACAAATTATAATTCTATGTCATCTACAATTTCAAAGAACATTTCTTGTAGACAAGAAGCAAATGATGAAAGAAAATTATTTGATATACCATTTCGTTATTATAAAACTCCACATTTACAAAAAAATAGAGATGAAACTAGTATTAACCAGTGTAGAGGTGAAGCTGATTTAAATGAAAAATATTTTGATGCCAGTTTTAAAAATCAGTTGAGATTATCACCAGAGTTGTCAAATTACATAAATTCCAGAAATGATTTTATATCTGATGATAAAAAGTTAGAAATAGATTCACCTTATATTGAAAGGAGGCATCCCATGCAAGAATACAAAACAGTTGAGCATGGAAATACCTTTGGTTCAGATAAAGGTAAGATACACATTTTCAATAAAGTATATAATTAACATCAATAATTTTAAAGTAAAATGTGAATGTGTGAACATTCCAATAGTGATCTTACAATAAAGGAAATCTCATAATTTTTTTACTCATTACAGAATTTAAATCATTTATATGATTTAAGTCTTATTTCTGTATTTGAAAGTAAATTTTAATGTTAAATTTTATTTCAGAAGTTCATGTATTTCATAATTATGTAACAGTTAATATTACTTAGAAGAAGTTAAACTATGTAGGACTTAGTACAAAACTAACTTAAGTAAGTTTTGTACTAAGTCCTAAATAGTAAATTATGTAATTTGTTGCTGGATTTTTATCATTACAAATTCTAAAAAATTAAAACAGTTAAAAAGTAAAAATGGTTCTTAAATTTATTTTATTATTTAAATAGATAGCTAATCATATGTGTTAAAAATAATGCAAAAAGTCTTTATTAATGTGTAATTAGCAAAAACAGCAGGAATTAAGAATAGGGGTTGACCAACATGTTGTTCTAATAATTAAAAAATAAACTAAATCGCTAGATGAAGCATAAGCATCTGACATATTTGTCTGATAGACTTAACATTGTACTTTTCAGCTCCACCATGCCCAAATGGTTATGAATTTTTCAATTCTGATTGAAATGGACTCATCTACAGGGCAAGAGCTTAATTTTGACACATGAACCCTTATGTACCCTTAGTATGTTTGTACCTCTTAAATTTAGCTGGACAGTATTTGAGACTTACCAAATTAATATATAGATTATTTTATTTACAGAACAATGCTTCTGACTAGGCTTTCGTAGGGAGCACTTCAAACTTAGCCACAGCATGGCTAATTTTAACTCTACAATCTTTTTATATCAAGTATGCTAGGGGCTGAGAATTTATGTCAGCCCAAAATGCATATGTAGAAGAGAAAATTGAATAATAAATTGTATATGGTTAAACCATTGGATATTTGTGTGGGTAGCCTGAGGTAGGACGAGGTCGTACCTCTTTTTGATAGGCAACAGTTGGGTGAGAACTGCCCACTGGTCAGTGGATGGCTTAGAAAATGCTTGTTCTATCCCGTAAAGTCGGGATTCTTTTGTCAGGTCGAGTGGAGGAGGTGAGAGGGGTCGTCGGTAAAGTGTGAGCGATACTCGAAGTAAAGACACCAATTAACAACAAAACAAGGATTTATTTAGACGATAACATAACTAACATAAATACATTGAGCTTATCTCGAGCGGACACGCGGAAGTGGAGGGGAGGGAAACGC